TAGAGGGCTGCTATCTGGGCGAGGTGAGGGAGGACTGAGGAGGGTGCCCTGTGGCCTTTCTGCCTCCTGCCAGCCCCCAGCAGAGGGTGAGTCACAGCAACCACCTCCCAGTCTCTTCCTGGCTTCCCTCCATGTCCCCAGCTCTCTCTGCCTAGCACCAAAGAGCTACTAGAGTTAAGTAGATTTCATGCTATTTTCAAAGTCATTTTCTGTGGAAAAATTTTTTATACCATTAAACCTACTTTCTGCTGTTTCTCATCTCCCTAAAAGCTTCCCTCCTCCTCTTCCATGAGATAAACTAGCGACAGGAACACTTAGGAACTGGCCGGTGGCCCCCTGCAGGTAACCTGGGTGTCACTAGCCAGGGAGGGGGAGGAAAACTCACACTAGCAGGTCTGGGGGGAGGGACAGCAACCAGGGCTTATAACTCTGAGCTTTCTTAGAGCTTACAATTTCTCAGCCTTCCAGCTCCTTCCTGTCTGATGTCAGGACCCTTGTCCCCCAGCTTCCCATCTTTCTGTGACAGCCACCAAACTGGGATAAATGGCTTATTTCGTTTGTGGGGCTTGAGCCCAGGGTTTCTCACATGCTAGGCAAGTGCTCTAAAACTGAACTCCTTCGGCCCCAGGAAGACTCTTTTATAGCCAGAGACCTGAGTCACCTGAGGGGCAACTGAAGCATTCCCCAGTCTCCTGGGCAGCCTACATTTCCCAGAGGAGAGCTGGCCCCAAGCAGCTACATGTTGGGAGGAGGAGCTACAGACACCAGGCTATCTGAACATGCATGCTTGTGATTGCACTGTATGCATTTCCTATGGATTCTTGCCACATTGTGTCACTCTATACCTGCCAGTAAACTGAAGCCTTGGAAAACACAAGAGTGCAAATGACTACCTCCTCAGCTTACAGAATAGGCCCCAACCTGATAGATGATTAGGTAGCAGCCTATTAAATCTGCTGGATCCCTTGTCAGCCAAGGCTGACCAGCACTTTGGCCACAGATGACTGGGCCAGACTTGGACTGGCCAGTGGCCACAGGTGTGACCTGGCCTGATGGGGGCTCAGGTAACCGGGTGGAGATGAACTGGACAAAATCAAATTCTCTTCCTGCCAGGCATGACTATAATCCAAGCACTCTGGAAGGCCAAGGCAGAATGGAAAGTTTGAGGCTAGCCCGGGAAACTTAGCAATTTATTGAGACCTTGTCTCAAAAAAAAAAAAAAGTTTTAAAAAGGCCCTAGGGGTGGAACTCAGTGTGGTGTGAAGGCCTTGGGTTCAATATTCAGTACTACCAAAAAAACAACTCTTCCTGTGATAACCGAGCAGTGTGCAATCTTGTGGAGCCTGCACTGTTCCTTGGGTCTGCTGGGATGGAGATGTGGGAAAGAACATTCCAGAACACTCTCAGCTTTCTGGCCACTTCAACTGATAACAGGATGCTGCACCAGCCAGAGTGATAAATAATGAGTGGGCTATTGGGGAATGGAGGATGAGCCAGAGTGGCAGGTGCTGAGGCACTTGTACAATCATCCAGAAGGCGCATTCGGTGGGGCATGGCAAGAGCCACCATAATGCTCGAGACCCGCATGCTAGACTTGAGAAATATTTGAGGAACAACCTCATGTGTCATGGTACACAAGATGATCTCCACCAAAATACAGGCCCGTCTTCCCTCAGAGGTAATTGTAGAGATAAGCAAAAAAAACTTTTTTTAATTATATACATTTCACCTGATTTATATTTTAAATATTTAGAGCTAATTGTTACCTAACAACTGCACAGGCTGTTGGAAGACAGTGTTAAAACTAACCTCACATGTTTTCCTCCTTTATTCACATTATTTCACTGAAATTTCTTTCTATATTTCTTATTTCTTCTGCATCCAAACAGGAAGTACCAAAAATTTTTTCCAACAAATGTCAGCTTGAAAACTAGCATGAAGCATTCTTAGTAAATATGGTCACAGCTTAGATATCTCTGCCTTTCTAAACAGATTATAAAGGAAACAGTTTTTCTGCACAAGAATAATTTAATCCTACTTATAGAACCTCTCAAATCAATAAATATCAACCTGTCATTTTTATTTTTTCACATAGAAGCTAATATTTCTGCTGTAGGCTTAGGCCCCATTGTTAGTCTCTGACAAAAGAACTTTCTGTCTTGGAACAGTAGTGTGTTTAACCTTGAGGGTAACCCTGAGCAAGTATCTTCTTAGAAAGCAAAAACTGGACTCCAGGGGTTCTCCAGCTGGACACCATGGTTACTTCTAGCAGACACTCATGTAGCTCTCACTCTGTACAGTGCACCCTATTACAGGCATGACTGTAATCCCATCTTCGGCTGGAAAAACGGAGGCACAAGGTTAGATAAATCACCCCTACGCATTTGCTCTCTCCCCCATGTAAAAAATAAGAATCAGTGGATGTGGTGGGCCCTAGAATATATACTTCCAACAAACCTCCAACCACCCAGGGCAATAATCCAGATTTTGTTTGCTTTCTCAGAGACCAAGACTGGACCCAAGGTCTGGTATATACTAGATAAACACCCTACCACTGAACTACATCCCTAGCACTCAGATGGCTTTTAGATCCCACTGGGGGACTGCTCCAGGCATCAAAGGACCTGCTCTGATTCTGAGTGCAGGGAAGAGGAGAAACAGGAGTATCCAGAGCCCCAGTCAGGGTATTCCCAAGGAAGAGGTGGAGGCCACCCTCTGACAGCCAAAGCAGTAAAAAGCAGGAACCCAGTTGGGTTGTGCTCACTGGGAACCCGTAGACTTCCTTTTGCTGCACCACATTGCCATCTGCTGGCTATAGGCTGCTATTACAGATCAAATAGGAACATTCCCCGCCAACCCTTTCACTAAATCTTTAGAGTTTACTTGGGTGATGGGACTTATTGGAGACCTCAGAGCTGTCCAGAGTGTGAGACAGACACACATCCACAACGCCCTGTTTCATGCCACAGATGGGGGAAAGCAGTTAGGGGAAAGCCCAGACTGTATGAGGGGTACATGAATGTCAGAAATATGTCAGAGAAGTAGGTCAGGAGTGAAGGGGGTGTCATTAGTTGGGATTTTTGTGCTAAGGGGCATGGGCAATTCAGGTGTTGGTAAGATCATTCTGGGATTTTTCAGGATGGAATAGGATCATTTGAGTGACGGCCAAGTTGCTGGGAGAGCATTGCAGCATCAACGACAAGAGCATAGGCATAGGGTGGCTGCAAGGATGGGAAAAAAAAAAGGTCTATAAGAAATATTTAGGAAGTAGGGGCTGGGGATTAGCTCAGTGGTTCCGCTGCCTGCCTTGCAAGTGCAAGGACCGGAATTCAATCCCAGGTACCAAAAAAAAAGAAATATTTAGGAAGTAGGGTTGTTTAGGTTTGATAAAACCAAGTCCCACAGGATAACACCAGCAAAGGCATAAAGGCTCTATTTCATTCATTTCTCCTTTCAACAAGTTTTAGCCCCTACCATGTGCCAGGAACTGATTTATCTTCTGGGAATACAGTGGTGCAAGCAAGTAAGGAAAAAGCCCTGCATGAACGCATGCACAGTACTGGGGACTGAACCCAGAGCTTTCACACTGAGCCACAGCTCAGCCCTTTTTATTTTTTGAGAGAGGGTCTTACTAAGTCACCCAGGCTGGGTTCCATCCTCTTGCTTCAGCTTCCCAGGATTCTGAGATTCCAGGCCATCAGGTCTGGCAAAAGCTCTGCTTTTCATGGAGCCTATGTTCTAAAGGGGGGGCGGGGGGGTAATCAAATAGGTAAATAAACAAGACTGATACAACAATGGTTCTAAGAGGCCTGTCTGCCATGTAAGGATAATAGGGGAAAGTGTTCTAGACCAAAGGAACAAGTGCAAAGACCTTAAGAGCAGGAGTTAAGTGTAGGAAGTTCAAGGTCAGAGGCAGCCAGTGTGACTGCAGCACAGTGAACCAAGGCAAGAAAGGACAGAGGCAGGAGAGAGAGGCAGGGGCCAGATTATACAGGCTTCTGAAAGGCCATGGAAGGAACTCTAGTAGGGAAGGTAAGCTACTAGGCAGGATATCGAGAGAATCAGCTTTCTTTCTTTCTTTCTTTTTTTTTTTTTTTTTGGTACCAGGGATCAAACTCTGGTCTTTGCGTTTGCAAAGCAGGTGCCAGAACCACTGAGCTAAATCCCCGGCCTTGAAGACTTCTCTGCACTGTGGAGAATGGATTGTATCGGGGTAGCAGGGGAGAAGCAGGAATTCAGGGAGATGGGGTAGGGAGCTATGATAAGGGACAGCAGAGTGAAGGGAGGACTCTGGATATAATTTGGAATCAGAGTCAATAGGACTTGCTGATGGATTAGATGTGGGGCTGAATAAAGAGCATAACCATGCCAGGCATGGTGGCACACACCTGTAACCCCAGGACTTGGGAGGTTGAGGAGGACTGCTACAAGTTCAAGGCCAGCCTAGGCTACATAGAGACCCTGTCTCAAAAAAAAACCCAGAAAATGACTCCACAGGACCATAAGGATGACAGCCACAACAGGAAACCTGGACAGGAAGCACAAGAGCCTCAGGAACTTCTTCCCCATGAGCCCTTCCACAACAAACAAAGGCCTGGTCTTTAGAGTCCAGTCCCCCAGATAGAGGGAGCATGAAAACTAACCACACAAGTTTCGTTTCCTTGTCTGTGACTGGGTCTACCTTGTCTGAGCACATGGCAAGGACCAAGTAGAAAGCCTGGCACAGACTTGATGCTCGATGCTGGCCTGGTCTTGAGAACACCTGATAGACCAGGTCTCTCCCATACTGGGAGGAGGGAGGAGTCTTACCAGGTGGCCAGAACCCACCCATAACTGGAGGAGCCCCTGACTGTCACTTCTAGATCCGAGTCAAGGCAGAGTCCCCAGAGTATCCCCTTCCATCCACTGAGGTCCTAAGCATGTCCCCTCAAGAGATAGAAACTCACTCTCAATCCCATTGAGCCAAAGAGGAAGATGAACAGACACCAGAGACCAAGGGCTATGGGTACCACCTCACTTTATTTCTTTGGTTTTCCAACTTCAGCCTTGGGTAATGCAAATTCAGTCTCCTGCCTGCTTGGCCATCAGTGGTCCCTCACTGAAGTGGCTCAGGCTTTGAGAGGAGGCTCAACAGAAACGCAGGGTGCCCAAGGTTCAGCCAGCTGGCAGAGGCCCGTGGAGATCAGGCCTTTCTTTCACCTGTCCAGGCTCCTCGCAGGGGACAGGCTGGCCCCTCAGTACTCTCAGGTGTCCTCAGGCCTTCCCTTGGACACCATCCCTGGCTCTTCCTGTGCATCTCTGCTGCCACTCATGCTGAATCTGGCATCTTCTCTGTTGGGGGCACAAGGCAGAAGCCATGGAGGAGAGCCCCCCTTCAATTCCCATGTTCCTTTGGGAAGAGGGTGCCACCCCAGAGAAACTGAAGACACATCTACCCCATAGGACAGATAATCACACTATACTTCTCTTGCTCCCAGGAAAAGCTGAAAGCTGCTTTCGCTAACCAACTTCCACACCCTACACAAATACACAGCTTCCAGCACCAGCAAGCAGGCCCAGTCAACCCACTTTAATCAAAACAAAAACTAAAACTCAACAATAAAAATGTGACCAGCCAACAACCAAAGAGAACATCTGTGCTGCTGTAGCTTTCAACAGAAGACCAGATGGCTGGCTTCTGGCTCTCTCTACCCTGGAGCCAGGAAATAACACAAATATGCCCTTGGAATCAGGGTAGACACTGTGAGAACCAGAGCAGAGGGCATCCTGGCCAAACCAGGGGACAACTCAGGTCCCTGACCCTTTCCCAACTGGTCCCCTTCCTCTCCGCCCCTTTTGTACCTCCCCATCAGCCGTCCACCAGGGTGAGGCCTTCATAGAGTGCACGCTTCCACATGTAGTAGGTGGAGCGCGCAGTGAGAGGGAAGAGGGTGCTGAACTCCTTGTAGGAGGGGAAGCTCTTGGACTGGAAGCGCTTCTGCAGGAACAGCTTGGCCTGGGCCTTGAACTTTGTAGTGGTGAGCATGTCCATCACCAACACCTGGCCATCCCTGTGGCCTGCTGCTGCCACCAGAGGGTGGCTTGACAGGGCCCCACTGTGGGGCTGGCCCTGGGCTGTGGCCTCTGGCAGACCCCCCTCTCTGGAAGGACCTCCCTGGGCCTTTGTAGAATCATTTCCTAGAGAAGTCCCCACTGGTAGGCTCCCTACAGGTGGGGTCAACACAGTTGTCATGTTCCTGCCAGCCTCCTTCTCCTGGGCCTCCTGCCTCCATTTGCCCAAAGAAGGGGATGGCCTCTGGAGTTTGGACAGGGCTCTGGGCCAGCCTCGGGTGAGGCTCTTCCAGGCCCAAAAAGTAGAGGGTGACAGGCTAGGGTAGCGGAGGCGGAAGCGACAGAAGGGCAGATGCCCACTCAGCACCTGCGTGCGGGCGGCCTTGCGCAGGCGCCTCTGCCAACGGGATAATGGCATCCTCCGTGGCAGGAGATCCTGGGGCGTAGGGGACCCACCTCCTGTGGCTTCCTCTGCCCGCTCTTCCACCTCGCCCTTTGAAGGGAGCAGGGCCACTTCCCCAACAGATGCTGACTGGGGGGCCCCGGCAGCTGCAATGGCTGGTGCTGGCTTGAAGCTGGGGTTCCTCCGGAGGGCCTTTCGCCGCCAGTTGTAATAGGTGGACCTTGAGATGCCAGGGAACCTGCGTTTGAAGCAACGATAGGGCACCAGTGTGTTCAGGGAGATGCAATGCTCCAGGTACAGCTTGGCCCGCTGCATCAAGACCATTCCAGGGTTTGTGGGTGCCAGGGCACAGCGCCCCAGCCCCTCAGCATCCTTCTCTCCTAGCAGCTTCTCCAGCTCCCCCATAGCCGGTACCTCTTTGGGGGCCGGGGACCGGGCTGGGGCTGGGGCTGGGCAAGGGCCAGAGCCCATCAACTCGTGCTTCCAGGCATAGTAGGTGGAGCGAGAGATCTCGGGAAACCTCTGGAGGAACTGCTGCAGTGGCACAACACCCCCTTGGTGGAAGCTGTCCTGCAGGAAGTGCTTGGCCGAGAAGCGGGTGGCCACCTTCTGCCGGTGCTCCTGGGACTGCCGCCGCCAGCGGTAGAAGGTGCTCTTGGTGACTCTGTAGCGCTCACAGAGGTGGGAGTAGCTGAGGCCAGGTTCTCGGTTGAGCAGCTCCAGGGTCTTGGCTGGAGGGGGCAGTGATGCGAGGGCTAGAGGAGTAGCAGCCAGGCTGGGAGTATCATCAGCCTCCACCTCCTCCAGGCCCACCACGGGGGCAAAGTACTGGTGGCGGAAGAGGTGGCTGGTGAGGGGCTGGCCAGCCCACATGATGTGCAGCGTGGAGGGCATGTGGTCACAGCGCCGGGGCCGTATAACACGGTTAAAGTAGGGTCGGATCTTGAGGTTGCGCATGGGGTAGATGGAGTAGATGTTGCGCTGAAGGACAGAGGCAAGGGCGTACAGGTGCCATACGTTCGAGAAGCTGCTAGGGAAGCAGGTGGCCTTGACATCCGCGTCAAAGATGGCCTCCAAAGTGGCCGATGGTAGGTTGGTCATCTCAGGGGACTCTTCGGAGCAGAGAGAGTAGCGGACGGCTTGCAACATCACCTTGGAGTCGATCATGCCCTGGAGGTAATAGTGTCTGTGCAGCAGCATCTCCACCACAGTTCGTGCCCGCAGCTCCAGGCTGAGGCCAGCATCCCCCCAGAGAAGCATGCTAGCCGCCTCGAACAGCAGGCTGCCCCCACCTGTGCACACCAGTGGCAGCATGTTCCTTGGAGCATCCTCGGGGTACAGGCTCAAGGCCACAGAATCCACCTCCAGCACCTGGAGCCCGGGGCCCCCCTTGCGGCAGGTGGGGAGAGCGAAGGAAGATAGGACCTGCTTGGCCTCCAGCGCAGCACTAACGAGACCCTCCAGGCCCTCGGACTCCACTGCCTCCTGCAGCTCCCTCAGCACCTGCTCCACCAGCTGGTCCCGAGAAGTCATCCTGACAAGGCAAAGGACAGAGGGCAGAGGTTAGGACAAGGTGGCTGCATCATACCTAGCATTGGTGCCCTGTGCACTCCTGCACCTCCTCCCTACAGGCAATGTCCAGCTGCTTCCATTCCCCCAGAGCAGATGATAGCTAACGGCCCCCTTGGGTTTGTTTAGTCACTCAGAGGTACAGGGACGAGCGTGGTCTCTGGGACTTGACTTTGAATCTTGGCTCTGATCTCAGCTTGACCACCTTAGCCAAGCCACTCAACCACTACACTGCTATCTTTTGTGTAAAATGGGGACAATAATAATCTACCTTACAGAGTTGTTACACACATAACTGAGCTAAAGTAACAGATGGAGATATAGAAATATACATACATACACATTCTTCTACTTACCTAGATGTAAAAGCTGTACTTCTCTGTACTTCTCAAAGGCTTAAAATGGGTTTTGTTTTGTTTTTTTGGTACCAGGGATCGAACTCAAGACTTTGCACTTTCAAGGTAGGCAGCGGCACCACTCAGCTAAATCCCCAGCCCTAAAAAGACTTAAAACGGGAAAGCTGGCATAGTGGCAAACACCTGTAATCCTGAGTGGTAACTCAGGAGGCTGAGGCAGGAATATCACTACAAATTCAAGGCCGGCCAGGGATACATTGTGAGACTATCTCAAAAAAAAAAAAAAACAAGCTGGGGATTGCGGCACACCCGCATTATCCCAGTACTGTCCTGCTCTGGGAGGCCCAGGCAGAGGATCACAAATTCAAGGCCTGCCCAGGGAACTTAGTGACTTAACGAAACTGTCTCAAAAATTTGTTTAGGATGTGAGGGCGATCTGGCTGCGACATCTGTCACTCCACTGATTGCCAGGGCTGATTTGGCTGATCTGGCTGGCCAGGCGGATGTCCCCTTCCTCCCTCACTGCTCCATGTGTGTCCCTCCTGAAGCTGCACACTGAGTTGAAGAGGACGACCACCCCTGATAGAGGAGGACTCTTTCCTCCATCAAGGACATATGAGTAGCTGTGCTCCGCTGCTAGAATCTCCAAACAAGTTCTCAAAATTTTAATATTGGGAAATAGAAAGAAAATGTTCAAATGGAAGAGGAACAAGGGAGGGGGGAGGCGGAAAGAAAGGAAGGGACAAGAAATAAAAGTGAAAATAGAAGGAAAAATGGAAACAAACCTTTTGCATATCGGAAGGGAGGAGGGTCGAAGAGAGGGGGGATTGGGAAAAAAAGAAGAGGTAGGATATAGCATGTACAGGTGCAAATCCCCTATGATCAGTGTTATGTATATCTAAAATGTACCAATAGGGCCAGGGATGTAGCTCAGTGGTGCTGTACCTGCCTGGCAAACAAGATCCTGAGTTTGAGTCCCAGTACAGGAAAAAAAAAAAGCTAAAATGTACCAATAAATGTTTTGCTTCAGAAAAAAAAAGACAAAAGTATATGGACTACAAAAATAAAATTTTTTTAAATGGCTGGAAAGGTAGCTCAGTGCAAAAGCCCCAAGTTCAGGGCAAGGATTTAGCTCAGTGGCACCACACCTGCCTCACAAGTGCAAGGTCCTGAGTTTGATCCCCGGTATGGGGGTGGGCCTTGAACCCCAAGTTCAATCCTACTACCACAAAAAGAAAAAAAATTACAAAAAAAAATTACAATCACATATGGCCAAAATTGGCCTGCCTTTCCCTGAAGTAGTGATTCTCAAAGTATTCTGACAGTCTGCAAGTTAAACTATTCTCATGATAGGATGCTATTCTTTGCCTTTTTTCACTCTATTATCACATGAATTAAACTGTCATCTTAGTATGATCAAGGCAATAATATCAAACTGCTACAAGTCATTATGTCCTTTACTACCATGTACTTCAAATTGAAAAAAAATTGAAGGTGGCTGGTTTCTCTTAAGAATGTCCCCCAGTGAAGCAGTAAAGATGCATTAAACTGCAACCCTTAAATGCACATCTTTTCAATTATTGGGAGTGACTAAATGGAGAGTATTCCTAGAACATTTCTTCTGCATACTAAGTATAAGGAATCTATCAGTTGGACCACTGAGTTTTGTGATGAATTAGCATAGTTGTGGCATGGAATACCATTTTTGCTTCTTTTTCCTTTCCATTTTTAAAGACTGACAGATATTAAGTCATGCAGACTCAGATATGCTTAGCAAACATTTTCTCAAAAGTGAATGAAGTGGCTATTGTGGCTTTCCTCCCAATAGCCCACCCTGCTTTCTCAGGGGTGTTCTTTTATCTTTTTCTCAGCCCAAGCTCGCTCTGCAGAGTCAGTTTCTCCCTCATTCTTCACTTTTACTCTTTTTACTTTTCCAAAAGAACTCTGTCACTGCTTTTTGGGGGGAAAAATTAATGAAGAATGCCACTTCAGGGCTGGGGATTTAGCTCAGTGGTTCCAGTGCCTGCCTCGCAAGCGCAAGGTCCCGAGTTCAATCTCTGGTACCAAAAAAAAAAGAAAAAGAAAGAAAGAATGCCACTTCAATAAAGATTCTGAACTTTGGGCCAGGGATGTGGCTCAGTGGCACCACGCCTGTCTGGTAAGCGCAAGGTTCTGAGTTCAATCCTAGTACAAAAAAAAAAAAAAGATTCTGAACTTTACTTTGAAAATTTAAATTTTGAAGCCAGGCATGGTGGTGCACACTAGTGATCCTGGCTACTCGGGAGGTTGAGGCAGGAGGATCACTTGAGCTCAATTCAGGACCAGTCTGGCCAACATAGCAAGACACCCACACACACACACAAAGAATCAATTTTTGGTAAATCTGCAAATAAGCTTGACAGCTTCCCAATACCCAAAGACTTTTCTAATGAGATCAGTGGAGACATTTATTAAATGTTTTTTATACTGTATAATGAAATTGCCAATATTTCCATTAAAGAACTATATCACTCAATGAATGGTATTTTCCAAATAACCACAGTGACATTACAAAATCATGTACTTTTTGGACTGGGGATTTAGCTCAGTGGTTCTGCCACCTGCCTTGTGAGCGCAAGGACCCAAGTTCAATCCCCAGTACCAAAAAAAAAACAAAAACAAAACACCCCAGACTGAATAGAGATATTTGAAAAGACATTAAAAAATGAATTCCTACTTTTTTGCATTCTAGAAGTTATTTTTATAACAACGATTGTTACTTTTTTTTTTTGGTACCAGGGATCAAACTCAGGACCTTGCACTTTCAAGGCATGTGGCGGAACCACTGAGCTAAATCCCCAGCCCCTTTACTTTTTTTTTTCCCCTGGTACCAGGGATTGAACTCCAGACCTTGCGCTTATGAGGCAGGCAACAGAACCACTGAGCTAAATCCCTGGCCCACACTATTTATTTTGAAATAAATTAATGTTTTAAAATTCTCTCAAAAAAACAAATAAATAAAACAAAATTCTCTTGATCTTTTTTGGGGGGAGGAGGGCTGAGAATCTAACATAGGACCTCACAATTGCTAGGCAAGCAATCTTGCTACTAAGCAACACTTCCAGATTGATGGATATAACCTGCAAACAAGTTCTTCAAGGTCCTCAGATCTTAAGAGCGTAAAGAGATCTTGAACCCAAAAATATTGTCCTAGAACAAAGACAGTCTTTTCAAAAGGCCAGCAAGTCTACCCACAGCACTGACCACCATCTAATAACTAGGATTTAGTGGGTATGTACTATTTGCTGTGCACTGTTCTAATCCCAACAGCAGGACTTTAAGGCGGTCCTGCCACTATCTCCAATTCACAGAGGGAGAAGCAGGAAATTGAAGACAGCCTCGTTTGCCCAAGGTCCCACAAATTAGTAGCTGAAACCAAACGTTCCCTCTGGGCCTGGCATTCATGGGGAGGGGGGTTTCAACCCTCAGCCCCTTTTCAACACAAACTAATCATCCAATTTCAATTAGCATTCAATTGCAAAGCAGCGTGGGCATTCCTCCATTGGCACTGTTTTTAAATTAGAAAGACCACCATTATCCTTTCTGGTTTCTTGGGTCTTTGTTCTCAGAGTTCAATACAGATATTCCTGTTTAAGGACCTACCTGGTGATGGCAGCTGTTCTGACCCATCCACATTCGGATTTACTCCAGGCTTATGGTGGCTTCCACGAGTACAGTAATTTTTGCTGATTGTACTGTACAGTACAGTACTGTAGTTTTATGTTCTGTTATACATTACAGTGCTGCGTTTGAGTTATGCAAATAAAAGCAGAGTCATCAAGTTGGAGTACCTTTTTGTCATTTCTTTGATTTGAATATTGTATATACTATATACAATTCCTTATTTAGCAACCAATTCATTAATGGCCTAGTCGCAGGCACTCAACTCAATACTTAAATAAGGGAATGTGTTTACATTTCTTTAGATTAGCTATAGGTTTAAACATTGCATTTAGGTGTATGTATTTTTCAGCTCATCAACTGTACCTTTAAAAGGGATGTTTGGACTGGGCGTGGTGCCACAGGACTGTAATCCCAGCACTCAGGAGGATCACAAGATTAAGGCCAGGCTAGGCTACACAGGTAAACCATCTCAAAAAATTCAAAAGATTGGGCTGGGGATTTAGCTCAGTGGTTCCGTTGCTTGCCTTGCAAGAGCAAGGACTCGAGTTTGATCCCTGGTACCAAAAAAAAAAAAATCCGAAAAATAAGAGCGCTTGCCTAGCATGTGCACGGCCCTGGGTTCGAATCGCATCAGACACACACACACACACACACAAAGATGCTTTCTGATTGTGTACTGAGATTCAGTAAAATTGGGGGAAAAAAAACCCTGAAAACACTAAAGGGTCACTTACCAGAATTATACTTGATAATCATAAAGGCAAGCTTTTTGTTTGTTTTTTGGTTCTGGGTTTTTTTTTGGAAACAGGGTCTCACTGTGTAGTTCAGGCTGACCTTGAACTATGTAACCCAGGCTAGCCTTGAATTTGAGGAGATCTTCCTGCCTCAGTCTCCTGAGTGCTGGGTGCTTTTTTGTTGTTTTTTTTGGTACCTAGGATTGAACTCAGAACCTTGCACTTTGAGGCAGGTGATGGAACCACTGAGCTAAACCCCCCCGCTACAGGTGTTTTTAAAACACTGGTAGAAAGGGCTGGGGATTTAGCTCAGTGGTTCCGGCACCTGCCTTGCAAGTGCAAGGTCCCGAGTTGGATCCCTGGTACCAAAAAAACAAAACAAAATAAAACACTGGTACCGGGCCGGGGATTTAGCTCAGTGGTTTCGCTGCCTGCTGTGCAAGTGCAAGGACCCAAGTTCGATCCCCAGTACCAAAAAAAAAACAAAACAAAAAAAACACTGGTAGGCCTAGGGATTTAGCTCACTGGCATCATGGGTGTCTGCCTCAAAAGCGCAAGGTCCTGAGTTCGATCCCTGGTACCGCTAAATAAATAAATATAAAACACTGGTAATCAGAATCACCATTGGATAAAATTTCTTGGCTATAGGCTTCCTTAAAATATGTCTATTATGGGCCAGGGATTTAGCTCAGTGGTTTCAGCTGCCTGCTGCGCAAGTGCAAGGACCCGAGTTTGATCCCCTGTACCAAAACAAAAAACAAAAAAAAATGTCTATTATTACAACAAATATGGTATAAACTTTCACCAAATTTCTCCTTGCACCATATTACTTAACCTGGATTTGGGTTTTTCTGTTTATCTTTTATCCACTTTACTTTTTAAATAACATTACTTTTCCTTGGACTCAGGAGATAAGCTTTTTTATCAGTCCTTAGGAAAGGGAACTCTACTTATGCAATAAAAACATTAAACCTTGGCCAACAAACTGCTGGCACAGAAGTGCTTGTTCATTCTGACGCTCATCCCAACAAACAGGATGGCATTTCTCCCTGTTTTTCTTACACGGTATCACTTGTTAAACACTGTTATGCAGCTACATATAAAGGTGTGTTCTGACAAAAACTCTGAAAATAAAAATAGGAAAACAACCACCATTTACTGGTTGCTCACTATAGCATTTAACTCAGGTAATTCAACCAAAATCTCAGGGAAAAAAACTGGAGAGAACAATAGATTTAAATGGTGTAGGTGATTCTTCCTGCTCTTCCACTCAAGGAGCCCATTTTCTTAGTACACAGAGATGCTCCCTTGGATGATTGCAAATGTCTGCGGGCTTTCGTGGGAGTGATCATTTGAATTTCAGGCTTTTCAGGGGGTAATTTTGTTTATATGTGGCTCTCACCTTCTCTCCATGTGAACTACATCACACCTGCCCCATCCCTCGAATCATTATGCCTAGTTCACACCTGGAGAAAGCGAGGTTCAGGGGTTACCCAGCTATTAAAAACTGCAAAACCAGCTGGGCATGGTGGAATTACAGGTGTCCACCAGGACTCTGGGAGGCAAGAGAATCACAAATTCAGGCCCAGCCTGGGCAACTTAGCAAAACCCTATCTCAAAAATAAAAAGGGCTATGGATGTAGCTCAGTGCAGAGACCCTGTGTTCAATTCCCAGTACCACACACACATAAAAAATAATAACAATAATAATAAAGGAACACAACCCTAGCAATCTGCCTCCTGAATTCCCCTCCTAAGCACTGTAATTCCATCTAGATTTTCCCCATCCGGAGGATTATTTGGCACTGAGAGGAACCTAGTCATTTTCTAGATAAGGAAACAGGCGCAGGAAGTTGAAGTCCACTTGCCTGTATTCATGCAGCAGTGTCCAAGTGTTTCCAGCACAACATCCAGTTATACCGCACTTCCTGCGGCACAAACCCCACCCCTCCCCACCCTACCTGGTCCCACCCTCACTTCCTCGGCCTCTTCCAAGTCCCACCTGGCTCCACCCTATCCCATTCCTTCCTCTTCCCCGAAGAGGTGAGAGGAGGTGTGAGTAAACGCCCCACTTCTGACTTCCTCAAAACTTGCTGTGAAAAAACAGCTCCCCAGAGAGTCTACAACCACCGCCAACCCATGAAGTTTGACCACTAGAGCCAGGGCAGCGTGGCTAGGGCAGGGCTGCACGGGGAAGCCTCTAGTCTTTAAGTACACAATTGCTGATAGGGCTCAGGTGTAATCTCTGGAGCACTGGCTCTTCCTGGAGGTGCGATGCAAAGCAGACAGGACTGTTGCCAGGTGCGCGCAGGGACTGCGGTGTAGAAAGTGAGGCTGGCGGACTTTGCATGCTGGCCTCACACACATCTCTCGGAAGGGATCTGGAAAGGCAGGACACCCAGGGGCAAGGCCCCTCTGATCACGGAGGCTCCCTGCTCCTCCCTACCCCCTTGAAGTTGGAGGGGAGAAAAGTCAGGGCACCCAGAAAGGATCCAGCCAGCATCTTAGCACCTGGGAAGGAGTCTGAAGGCAAAGAAGGAGAAATCGGATGGGGGCGATGCAGCAGGACGCTCAAAGCCTCACCTTCACCAAGGCCACTTCCTTGCTCTTCCAGTCTCCCTACAGAGCAGATGGCAGTCTTGGAGCCCCATTCTGGCCTCGGTCCCCAGCATTTTAGCAGGGGGGAGCCAGGGATCTGGATAGGTCAAGGAAAATGGGCCAAGAGACTGGCTGACAGGCTCCCAACTCTCCCCTGGCCTCTAGAACGGGTTCCTTCCTCACCAGCCGAAACTTGGGCTCCTAGGTTCTCCAGGACCCTCCTTTCCCTCCTTGCAGTTTCTGTAGCCAACCACACCCAACAAGCCTGAGGGCCACGCAGGTCTCAGGCCTCAGTGAAGCTATCGGCTTGGATTCTCCCCTGGGCACTGGCTTCTCACCCGGCCAGGCTCTGCGGCACCGGGGCCAGGAACTGAGGGCCTGCCAGCCATCTTGGTTCACTCTCTTGTGGCCTAGAGGCCCAGCCGGACTTGGGCAGCCACTGGGGCTCACTGGTAGTCACCCGGATGCGACTTCCCACCACCAGGGGTAGCGGGTGCACCTGGGGTCACCAGGGTAGACCTGAGGCCACCAGGTCAACCGATCCTCAGGAGTTCCCAAGTTCAGTTGCTCTTCTGGGCCACGTGTCTAGAAAGTTGGGAGAAGAGGGACGGCAGCCCACCCGGGGAAGCAGCACAGGCCACAGCCCTGGGGACGCCAGGTGGCAAGGGAGAGAGCTGGCTGGCCCAGGGCTAGGGGCACAAGGGACCCAACCTGGGAAGCTCCGGCTGCCCGGGGAGGGGCGGAGGCCAGACCATTGTATGGGTGGGGAGGGGAGATAGGAGGGTGGGGGTGGGGAGAAAAAGACCTTGAAACAAAGCTTCCTCCCTGTTCGCCAGGGAATACACACTTAGCATCTTCACGGGGTCCCTCCTAGACCGGTCCCTTTGGGTGTCCCGAGGTCGGCCCCCACTCCCTTGGGCCTCCAAACCGTACGAGGCACTCACCCTTCCTAGTTGTGTGAAAATGTCCTAGTTTACTGACCTGGAGGGTGGCCCAGAGCCCTGGGGGGCGTCCACGTTTCTCTCCACCTTCCAGCCTGGAACATTTAAGCCAGCCTTGGGGCCGGGCCCTCCCAGGCAGCGTCCCCAGAGGAGCGCCTCTCACCCCAGCAGTCTCATATCTGTAGTGGACCATTGAGCGTGGACCGTCTACAGTCTACAGCCAACTGGCCAGTGGGGAAGCGGCTAAGCCACTCCCCCCAGGAAATCGCCCACCCTCCAGGGCTCTGGTCCCAAGATGAAAGAAGTGCAAATTCGGGGGTCACTTCCAATGGTAAAGTGATAGTAGCTATTGTCTTATCCACTCTCCCCAGCTGGGGGTGTTACAGGGCCCTGACCCAGCTCTGAAACAGACCCCAAACTGCCCAGGGAAAACTTGAAAGAAAGTTGAAAGATTTCCAAACAGTTTGGGGGGGAGGGGAGGGGAGAGGAAGGTTTTAGATAGAAAGACCGAAGGGAGAAGTATGTGGCCAGGTTTGGGGAGGAGGGAAGAAAAGCTGAAGCCCAGAAACTGGCCATAGGTGACTGGTTAGAGAAAGATTGGCCCTCTGATTGTTTTTTTCCAGGACTGGAGATAAACCCAGGGCTTTCCCACTGAGCTACACCCCCAGATCTTTTTAAATTATTTTTTATTTTGAAACAGGGTCTCACTAAATCACTAAATTGCCTATACGGAGTTTAAACTTGTGATCCTCCTGCCTTAGCCTCCCAGATGCTGGGATTTCTGACATGTGCCCCCATACCCAGCTCTGTGGGGCTCTCTGAAACCCTAGATTGCATCTCTGCCTGAATCAGCCCTTCTAACCCAACTCTGCAAGACAGGCAGGTCGAAGAAGGACTCTCTGTCCCTTCAAATTGCTACAGGCCCAGTTCCCTTCCAGAAAGGCCCCACTTTCTCCAAAGGCTGTGTCCCTGCTGAGCATCCCCCAGGCTTGGGGATCAGTATCTCCAGTTCCCAAAGTGTGCCTAGCTCCAAAGAGCATCTGACCAGGCCAGGGGCCTTATCCTGGGGCACCTAATTCCTAGTCCCAGGAAAGACGATGGAGCTTCAGTCCTGATGGTCCCAAGGTGTCCCCCACTCTCTTACACACACACACACACACACACACACACACACACACACACACACACACACACACACAGAGCTCACC